TATTATTATTATTATTATTAGTCCCTTGGGCTCCTAGTGGAACATAGGGCTTCAGTAGCACGTCTCCAGTGAATTCTGTTCTCTGAGATCTTTTCAACCTGGTCCCACGACAGCCCACAAGCTCTCATTTCCTCCTCACACGATCTCCTCCATGTCACTCTCACCTCGGACGCCCAACTCGTCGCTCCCCATGGGGATTCCACTCGAGTGACTGGCCTGACGCGTGATGTCCTCAGTCGGCCTTCTCAGTGCATGCCCAATCCATCTACACTTCCTCCTGCATATTTGTTGGATGACAGCTTCTTGGTTGGTTCGTTCCCAGAGCTCCTTGTTGCTTATTCTTTCTGGCCATCTGATCTCCAGTAGCGAGCGTAAGCAGTTGTTGATGAATGTCTGTAGTTTATTGGAAATACCTTTTGTGACGCGCCAAGTCTCTGAACCATACAAGAGCACTGACTTGACGTTGGTGTTGAAAATCCGTATCTTGTTCCACATGCTGAGTGCAGAAGATCTCCACACTGGTTTCAGGCTAATGAACGCCTGTCTTGCTTTTCCGATCCTGACTTTGACGTCCTCGTCTGTCCCGCCTGTAGTTGAAACAGTGCTTCCTAGATAAGTGAACGAGACTACTTCCTTTAAGTTTGTCCCGTTGACGGTGATTGGAGTTTGTTGTTGTTGGTGGTGGTGAGGTAGCTTCATCACCTCTGTCTTCTCGATATTTACCTGAAGTCCCGTCTTCGCTGCCTCTTCTATCAACTTGTTAGTTTTTGCCTGTAAATCTTCAAGTTTATATGACATCAGGCACAAGTCATCGGCGAAATCCAAATCTTCTAGGTTCTTTTCCGCAGTCCAGTGTATCCCCCTCTTCTCGCTGCCCACTGTTTGCTGCATGATCCAGTCCACCACAACACAATCAGGAATATCATGGGGGATAGTAGGCAACCTTGTTTCACTCCTCCTGTCTTCACTTCACTTCCGAGGCATCACTGAGCTTCCCATTGTGGATTACTTGGCATGTGGCATCTTCATATAGTTGTTGAATGAGGCGGAGAAAGGTTTGCGGTACTCCGTAGTATTGAAGCAGTTTCCAAATTACTTCTCGGTCGACGCTGTCAAAGGCCTTCTCAAAGTCGATGAAGTTGAGGTAGAGAGCTGATTGCCATTCTATGCTCTGTTCTATGATGATACGAAGCGTTGCAATTTGGTCTGCACATGATTTGTACTTCCTGAATCCAGCCAGCCTGCCTGTTCCGGTCGTAGTTTTGAATCCAGTGCATCTTTAAGCCTCTCCAGGATGATGCGGCTTAATATTTTACTTGGAGTGGACAGGAAAGTGATTCCGCGCCAGTTCTTGCAAACACTGAGGTCTCCTTTCTTCAACAGTTTGACAAGGTAACCCTTCTTCCAATCAATGGGCAGGTACCTTCTCTTCCTTCCACACCTTCTGCAATAGTGGTGTGAGCATGTCTGCTGTTGTCTCTGCGTCTGTTCTCAGTGCTTCTGGCGGGATCCCATCTGGTCCTGCTGCTTTCCCGCATTTCAGTAGCTTTATGGCGTTCAGGACTTCCATTTTCGTTGGGGGATTTATGTTCACTTGTAATTCAGCTGCTGCAGTGGTTTTAGTAAGATGGTGAAATATTAACTGGTGATAAAATTGTTTTATTAACAAATGAACCTATTCTAGACAACCTATGCTGATCTTGTTTCAAACTTTGTCTTAGAAGGCACTATGTTCTCTGCCAGTTCATTTCCTGACTAGAAAGCTTGTTTTCAATTTTATATACGTCAATATTGAATTTCTAACCGGTCCTAACCACGAACTAGTTCAATATGTTAAGTGCTTTCAAGAAACTGGAATCACTGGAATATATTACTTAAAAGTGATGGAATTTCAGATCTTATTTAGTGGCCTGTTAGGCTATACATCATTCACTTCACATGGCAACTTCTAGGTGTAAGTACAAGCCAATGTGATATGAATAACTATGCAAATAAACATTAGGAACCAGGGTTATCAGTAACAGATCGTAAAATATATATCAGCCAGTGCTACATTTCGATATGAACATCAACATCATAATTGGTGAGTTTAATTTTGATAAATCTAAATACTGACTAAATGAAATGACAGAAAACAGCTACAGGAATCCAGCTTTTACTTAGGGTGAATTACATCTAAGTCTATAACGGAAAAATAGCATCCTTGACAATGCAGACTTATCTTACTGACAAATTGTTACAACAAGTACAAGATGTGAGTTTCACGCTTTCCATAAATTTTTGACAGGCACTTGAAATTATACTGTACAATAAACATTATTAAATCATAAACAATAACTTCGAGAATGATTAATATTACTAGGGAAAATCAGCTATTCAATATTGATTAAAAGTGTTCGCTTACAGCTTGGTCATGATATAAATAATTTTACTTACATTGTAAGTATAAGTTTTGTATTTCTTTGGCTTAAAATTCTAGATAAGCTGTTTGTTGAAAGTACATTAAATTGTTGTCAAAAATGTTGCATGAATAAATGTAAACTAAGTAGAATTAATTAGTTCATATCTCTCTCCTCCTTTAATCCAAAATCAGTTCCACCATCTGGCTAAGTAGTCAATGCGAGATTTTTAACCATTGTAATGATACAGAAATCACTATTTCAAAGGTCTTTATTAACTCTGCTATTCACTTGAAAAAAACCAGAAGTATCCATTGGTAAGAGTAGCTTAACATAAAGTGTATTGCTTTCGTATTTTAAAATTTTCGTTAGACGATAATCCTTTTAAATTCTTCTATAGATTGAAGGAAAGTTGATTATGAAATGTATTCAGAAGGTATTTCGTTCAACTTTCAATCCATTAAAATTGAATACATCAAAAAATTTCTTGTTTGAAACTCTTCATAACGAAAATAGTAAATTTTATGAGAATAACGTGCTTGATAAAATAATGAATCTAAATAAGTTATTTTAAAATAACCTTTCTGGGACTGAATTCTCATTACTGAGTTAAGAATTCAAATAAAACTACAAAACGTGAACTGATATGAATTTCCAGTTTTCTTCAATAGAATTTGAGAAGTCCAGGCAGATCACATTACATAACCATCTTCATGGTTACATATTCAACCTGCATTTTTATCGCGGTATAAGATATAAACCATCTGTTGGTAGTAAACACTCTACCAAGGATTCGAACCCCTCCCCCCTATATATATATATATATATATATATATATATAATTGGCCCAACCAATATTTTATATAGTAAATACCAGCTAATCTTTAATCCACCCTGTCCCTCCCCCCTAAGTAAAACAGTGAAATATATGAAAACTAAACTGTTAGTGAGCAGTCTCTTATAGACAGGTTTCATTCTAATATACTAAGTTACACCATTTTGCCTAAAACTTTGCAATTCACATAAACAACATGTCAGATCAAAAATTACCACGTAATGTATAACCCACTTAGAATGGCAAACAGCTATCTAATCTATTCCATGTCTGTAGTCTTTTTACAGCATATTGTTTGCCTAGATGTTCACAAATAAGATTTTTAGTTGAGCGACAATTTGAAATGCCACAGGGTTTGAAAAGCTTATAAAACAAGTACATGAAGTCTTAAGATCATCATATACTGAAGCCTTACCTAGTTCTAATATAATACTTTTATCATTACTCATGAATATATTTGCATAATAAATCCTGAAGGATAATGTATTGTAATGCTAAAGTACTTTTAAGGGTGAAAGCAAATTAAGTTGCTGAAGAGAAAAATATGACTTCAATTTAGGGGTTTCTGTAGACTTGTTTATTGATCTCAGGTTCGTATTCATTATGAGCTGATATCAGCTGCAGAAAAATAGGGGACCTGCAAGCACTTGACAGCTGTTTCATCCTTTTATGAGGCTCCTCAGCAGTTCGCACCGCCAGGGATCGAATCCAGGACATCCAGACCCTGCTACCAGTGAGCTAGTGAGTGGAACCTCGGTGACTCACAATTTTCAACTCCACTCAGTCTGGCAGTTGATGTAGGTCATGGCACATCGTGAAATGACAGTAGCAGGAAGTATGGGCTATTGGATTTCGACCCAGAGGTTCAATCGCAACGTGCTGACCACGAAACCCGAATGCGCCGACCTCAATCCTTGGTGGGGTCATGGGTACGCACTTTTGAGGAATCCCATGGTAGGATGAAACAGCTTCCCAGTGCTCCCAGGTTTCCAGTGTTTCTCTAACTGATGTCGGTCCATAATGAATACCAACCCAATGGTCAGGTTTAGTTCATGCGCAGTGTATGAACATGGGAGAATAATAAAAAGAGATGATGTGTGACTAAATTCGCAATTTGGAAAGCACTGGTTTGAGTCCTGCTAGGACATAAAATTTCATTTGCCCTCCTCTCGTCACCCCCATACCCATAATTCTAGTCTAGAAAACCACTATGATCTTTTACAATCTCATGAAGAGTGCAAATCACTTGAGAACTCACATTTATAGTCAACTAGGGCCAATTTCAACATCCACAACATAATTTTTTTACAGTAGTTCAAAAAGCTAAAGTTTTGTTGACACCACTGTGAATTACAGTAGCTGAAATATGGAGCCCGTTGAACAAACAAACTTGTTGAGAGTATCTATCCATATTTTATGTATTTACTTCATCGTACTAATATGATCTTATGTTTCTGCTCTGAATCAGCCAATCAATTCATGAGTATAAAATATCTAAAAAATGCTACATCCATATAAATATTGATTATTTGATGTTACTCAGGAGGTGAAAACGTCCAGTGGTACTTCAGAGTTTACTTGTTATCTTAAAAATGTTATTAGTATACAAACCTATTTTGCACAGCTTCTTTTTGAGGTATTGCAGGTATTTACGTTTTTGTTTTGTTATATTTTTTGTAGACTTATTCGTTTGAGATTAAATTAGTTTGTCCCATTTCAGTAGTAGTTTGAGTGATTAAATATTACTTCCTGATTATACATTTTAGAAACAATTTTATTAACTGCTTTATATAGAATAAGAATATTTTGAAACCCCCCTAAAGGATGAAGACCAGTCAAATAATGCTGGTAAGTAATTTAACTCTTGTGGTATTCTCTTTTATGCTTTATAGTTTTATTAAATTGTAAATATAACCGCTAATGACAGTGATTAGAATATAAACTCATAATTGAATTCAGATAACCACTTCATATACCATCCATTTCAAAACTCAAATTTCCAACTCAACCAACTGCTTACTGACCAGTTCATTTTGTGTATTTATGAAACCTCCACACTATATAGGGTTGAATGCTGGGAGTGTTGAAATTTTAAATGTTTCGACGGGACAATTTTACGACATAGAGCTACTTTCAGCATCATTGTTATCCAATCTTGAGATTGTTTTATAATTTAATCACCATAATAATTTCATGTTAAGCCTATTAGTCCGTTTTGACTGCGGTCGCTGTAAGATACTATTCATTGGCTCCAATCAGATATGAAATCATGTACGTCATGTGATAATCAGAAACCGTCTAGTGAAACATTACTATCATGTAATACATTTCTACACCCTCTAGGTTCTATTCCTCAAAAATTGATGCATCTTTCTTCTCCAAAGCCTTGGCTTCAAAACGTATCAAACAACAGTTGTAAATTAGTACACATCAGATATTATTTATGAAGCATAAATCGGTTAGTTCAGTAACGATATTTTATGCATTTAAAAGATAAACCACCCCAGAGTTATTGAAATCATCTCCATGGGACACTCCCATAGTCTTTCCAATCGTTTCCCCAACAAAATTCTAAAATGGAAATTTCTTTAGCTGGAGTTTTTCCTTGTGGTTATATTGTTTTACTTCTGATACTAGGTCAAAACTTATCTGAGCCAACTCCTAGATGATGTGAGAAATAAACGTTGTTTTCAATCCTAAATAGAGTTAACTGGCCTTTAAGTTTCACTTCGGTCTACCAATAGGTAGAAAAACTGACAGACCAACCTCAGAAAAGCATCTATGTGAAAACGAGCATTTCTAGTCAGTAGTAGTTTTCATTGGTCACAACAACATAATCTACGGATCAAATTCACAGTTCTTGGTTGTTACGTGCAATTCTTTAAATAAATCAAACCTTTGCAAGGAATTGCTTAAGGAACATCTTATTCCTGAACTTATACATCTTGTTTGACTATTCAATTGTTTCAAATAGTACATGTTTCTCATTGACCATAAAACACTGACAAATATCCTGGACGAGTTCTAACAGTGTCTAGCAGTAACAGAAATATCGTTTGTTCGCATAACCAATCAAACTTTCAGTATCAGTCCTTAATACACCTAGCAATTTTGGACCAATATATTTCAGACTTCAGAATCCAAGTACAAGTTGATATTTAGCAGTGCAACTTTCATTAAAATAAATGTTCATTCACCTCATATGTGCTTCAAATAATTACCGCAGACATTTGACCTCATTTAAACAAGAAACGTAAACTGCTAATAGTGTGTTAAGTAGTCATTATTGCTTATTATCATTCATTCTAAAGAAAAGCAAATGTGTTAGTCTGTAAAATCGGCTGCGATTAAAGTTTGTTTGTATCTTTAGTGAGATAAAAAGATATTTTCAAAAGAAGCAGCGGAAAGCAGATAAAAACATGTAAATGATTCACTTCAGTTCACTTGGCAGCTAAACTAAATCTTTTAGTTGAAAACTCAGTAGCTAATAAAGTGTCTACGACACTAACCTGATACATTTATTGTTTACCCCATCAATAATCCGTCTAGATGAAATAAAAATTACTATAATGATTCCGGTAAATCATAGGTACGCTTTACTACTGACATAAGCATCTCAATATCTTGTCTTTATTAGACAATACTCACTGGTCCTGAAAAGTAAATAAACTGGACACAACGAAATCTATCTGCTTTTTCCACAGAAAAAAAGTGTCAGTCATGAAGGTTATAGCTTCGTAAGTGTTGCTAATAATTTCTAGGTCAGACATCAAGTTCAGTTAGTTAACTGGTGTTACTCTTCAAAAAAAATAATACACAGATGGAGTTAGCTTGCAAAATTTAGCCACGGTCTTCTTTAGAAATCAAAATATTTAGACGCTAACGCGCAATTTGCTTAATCAAGATTTTGAGCATAAAACTTTCATATTACGTGTAACTGAAGAATATGATTAATCATAATCTCATCACACCAATCAGCACTATTCTTTAGTCAAATCGAGATCACATCTAAAGTTTCACAAAAGTATGCCATTCCAAATTCGAACCGCAAACATCTAAAATATCCGGTCACCTAAGTGGTCAACTAGGATTTAAGTATTTTGAAAAACTTAACCACCTAAGTGAAATCACTTTGGGTAAACTGATAGTAAACTCGTCCTAAAATGAGTAATTAGACTGATGGTTGTTATGAATTTCTCCTTCTACATATTCACTACCATACAGTTCAAGAAAAGCATATACCATACAGAAAGCAAAAAACTAAACATTCTAGATTGAAACAAAAGATAAACATGTGGATATGCACCTCATTTAGTTCCAATCAGTTAAGCAACAGACTTGGCGTCTTATGTATAATTACAGTGATTAGGCTGTGTAAAGATGGATACATGAAACAATTTAGTCTTTGATGTTTATTTAGACTAATTTTCTTTCGTTTAATACGTTTTCAATCTTAAAGGTTACAAATATTCTGTGTCTTCTGCTTCTTCGTTCAACCAATGCTTACGGTAGGTAATAATTAGTCAGTAATTGCTGACTAATAACAATTATTGTAACTACTCTATCTGTTTCTGGTCATTTTTTGGGTTTCATTTTGCTGATAAACACGATATACAATATGACTATTTGAGAAATCCTATTTTATTTACTAATCAGTTACCACTGATAGAGTCCTTTGGGTGAGAGACATCTAAGTATAAAAAATGGCCGTTTGCTTAAAATCTCGATCTGTAGGATACCTCTGTTCAAACAGTGGAGTCTTGGTTGCATTGTGTTCTCTGAACTGAGAACACAATGCAACCAAAACCATTCACCTGAGCTACAAATATTTTCCACCATTTCAAACAGTAGAGTATTTGAAGCAGGTTCACAGTTTCAAGCTTCGCAAATATTTTCCCTCAGAAATCAGTAAAGTGGTAGTGACAGAATTAAAACTGCCGTCCAAATGAAAATAATGCAATACTAAGACTAGGCATAATAAGCTTGAAAACAAAAATACAGTGCCACAGAGTGTCGTTGCACTTTTCTAAGCTTCAAAGTTTTAAAACATTGGTCGATAGACTTACATCATTGACTCGCACCAAGAAACAAGCAGCGACATCGGTTAATCACCGGTGAAAAATTAGTGTAAGCAAACTAGTTAGTTCTACAGTGAGCCAGTTGTGGCCTGAATAGCCCGGTGGTTAAATCTCTAACTCTAGCACTGAGTGACAAATTTGCGAATCCCCGAAAAAACACCAGTTTCTTCATGGTTACAGATACGCCAATTCAGTGAGAGCAAACATAAAATATAGATCAAGGGGTCCTAACAATTTCTATGTACTTCAGAACGTCTTTTTATTTTAATGATAGCTGCTTTTGAGACGATTCCACAACAAAGGATGAAAACTGAACGACAGCTGTATTCATGTTACTGATGGATCGTGACTAGCAGTGGAATCCAGGATACACATTTCGTCCTATTTGGGGCTCGTCATCTGGATGTTCCTGCTTCGCAGTGAGTGATGTTGTTCCCACCGGGCTTCGGACTCGGGAGTGATCGCTTCAAACGCAAGCGCGTTATCCACTACACCACCGAGCCACAATAGCCACTTCTTGTGCGAAGGGTATACTTTTTAGTATAAGGGTTTTTATATGATACCGTCGTTGATTGGACCGAACTGATCGGTCTCTATTAGTATATCGGCTCCTGTGCTGATGCCTCGATATTACCAGTAATCTAATTATGTTAATGATGGATCGTGGCTAGCAATATCAAGGCATCTGCACAGGAGCTCATATGCTAATAGAGACCGATCAGTTTGGTCCAATCAACCACGGTATCATATAAAAACCCTTATACTGATAGCTGTATTCATCTTAATATTTAAAGGAATGTTCGCATTCTGTTAGTAACAAACTTCATACTAGATGAAACTGAGAGTTTCTTTGAATTTTAAAGGTAATATATTGGTAAAATCCCGTAAAAGAGTTTGGCTATAAGATTTGATAAATGACGCTTCAATTCCTTCAGAGCTGTAGTCTTTGTCACAAATCATTTCAACATGTTCAAATACTACAGTAATAGACTGCGAGGAAACTAGCTATTGACGCATTAGCAAGCTAAGCAATTCGATTAATTTTTATATCTGACTAATATGACACTGTTTCGCCACCACTTTAGGCTTCCAAATTCCAAACTTTCCTACTACTCATCTCTGTCTTACATAATTTCCGTCTGACTACAACATCTATAAACATCTATGAGCAAACATAATTTAGAATTAAATTCTAGAGTGAACTACTGTGCTTACAGCAATCCTAAGATAATGGAATTAAAGTCGAGTACAATGTATGCACAAAACATCCCTGGCTATACACATTTCGCTTAACATAAAGATTTACTGTCTATATTCATTTAAGAAAACTAAATGTTGTTATGAACAATTTTTTTGTAGCTGTCTTAGAAGGAAAAAAAATTGTGAAGAATGTTTATACAAAAGGTCAACCAACCGTGTTACAAGCCACTGCAGGTTTCATTTCATCTCCTCATAGTACTGAAGAACTCAATAATATTAATCATACTAATACTAATAATGGAAATGGTTTCTCTACAATTCATCATGTCCCGCAAGATTCAACTAATAACTATGTTCTGCCTAATTTTATAACTGGAGCACATCTAGTACCCGCAGATTTATTACTTACAGACACCGATGACCAAAACTCAACACAGTGGTCGTTTTCGACTACATTTGTTCCCCTAGACACACGTAAATTTGATAATAAAACTGATGAAGATACAATAATGAAATCTAAATTATCTGAACAACAGGACCAAAGAGAAGAGATGCATTCGTTTGGAGGAGGAAATCAAAGAGCATTTATAGAAAATCATTTACCAGAAATGCCGCCAGCCTATCCTTATGATAATGAATATTATTTGCCTGAGGAAATGCGGAAGTATCAAGGTAATAACTTCATGACACCTTTTTGGTTTTTCCACTTCACTGACAATATGCAATTTCTCAGTGTGTTTGTTTTTAATATGGATACATTAGCGTTTCACAGATATGTCTTCAAGTGATATAAAATAATAACCTCACAATGCAGAGTAATTAATGAATGAGTAAAACGCTTACTGATGTATCAGAACTCAGTAACTTGACATCTTTATTAGTATCGCTATCAGAAGTAGTGTAAGTAGTAGTAGTAATTATGGTAGTGAGCACCTTGGTTATAAAAACTACATTTCTTCTCTTTCCCCTTCGATATTACCGCCGAAAAACAGTTCTCATTGTCATAATGAATTATGCTACCATAACAACACAGATGAGGTTAAGTTTAAGAAAAGTAGTATTACTTTCGAGTTTAAAAAGGCTTCCATTTCACTCACATCGTACCTACATCATTACTTCAAGTCATTTCCCCCTGATATATGTAAATTGCCGAAAAAACGTTGTATTGCCAGTCTTTATTTTTAACTTTCACAGTTGTTATATCCTCTGACATGGATCTTCCATATTCTATGGATCAGCCGAATGATGGTATCAATGGTGCAGCTAGATCTTCATGGCCTTATAATAAAGACTATAGCCATTATTTTGAAAATGAAGTTCAGTTCAAACAAGGTTTGCTAACAGATCAGCAGATGAAAGAAGAAGCTCGACCTGTTTATCACTCCCCAGTTCGTTGGGCCATTAGGGATATAGCATCACGTGGACAACCAAGACATATTGCCTGCAGTCAACCATTAGACAGAGGTGTTGGTTCAAATGAATTATCTTCTTGGTATTACGATTCAAAGGATGGTCGATGTCGCTGGTTTGGATACCGTGGTTATGGCGGTAATGCAAATAGATTTTACAGCCGTACAGCTTGTGAAGAACTATGCGTTCGAGACAACCAAAACATGTGTGAGGTATGTGTAGTCAAGAGGAGGTACTTACTTTACTTGTCGACATGATATAGCTTCTAATGTAATACACCTTTATTTGTTCTATCATTCCTGTTTACAGATCTTGTAGTTAGCTTAAGTGAGTAGTGATTAATCGTTCTAAAGCAGAAAAACATCTATCAGCATACAATGAATTAGTTACAGTAGATGGTGTTTCTTAACAAAACACCTCGTCACATTATAAATTTCCTAAAATAAGTAAAATGTACTGTAATTTTGCCGTACACTAGGTTCGCCTTTAGTTTTCATCGTAGCAGCAGACATATAAAAGCAGTCTGTTTATAAAAGCACCCATTTTGACCAATCAGAGCAAGTGGATTACTTTCCTTTACGCCACTGTAGCTGATGCCGTGAATCTATTCTTAATGTCAGCTTGTAATTGAATTCCTGATGCAGTGAAGGCTTTTATTAACATCATAAACATGATTATTACTTTACTGATACTAGCGGAACCTAGAGTAAGCCGTTTGTGAAATATGATTTTCCTCCATCGTTTATACTATTAGAAGATTTCAGTTCGCAGAGAACTCCGAAGTAGAAGTGAAATAGTTAGCTCATATGACTGGCGAACATTCAGATATGTTTTGTGAACCTTTGACACAGAGGTAAGTAATGCGATATTTCAACCATAGTGTAGATAACAATAAACAACCAAGGAAACTCTATCAAGTAGCTAAAAGCATTTTGTTGTGTTGCGAATACTCACAGAGATTACATCTCTCCTAGATGTTTCACGTGGCACCCTAATGGTAACCGGTAGCAGACTTTTTCAAGCAAAGTGATCACTGTATAACTAAGATGAACTAACAAGGGCAGAGAATGATATCAAATAATGGCATCAAATCGGTATTATAAGTGTCATTAGAAATGCAGTAGGCCCTGGTTTTAGACTAGAACCATCCAAACATCTGAGTTGAACGTTACACACTTGATTGGTTGTTTGGTATTTTTTAATTTGAAGACGAATTTCATCACTGCCTGACACCAGGTACTGAGTCATCAAAAACCAAGGATCAACGATTATATATTTCATTCTGGTAAATTCCTTTTCATGAATAACCAGATCTTGTGTGGTATCGAACCGGTTACACTAAAGTGAAGCGGAGAACATCAAGGACATTGTCCAACATTACTAGTGACCATTTGACTGCACTACCAATATACAGTTCAAGGATTTTAGCATAAACTTTCATGAATTGCAAAGATTAAATGTATAACTGGAATGCGCAAGTTACACTGTTTTATTTGCTTATTCACTAGATAATCTACACTAAGGAAAATAGGATGAAAAATATGCGAAAAACTAATCTTGCAATCAATAGTCATTATGCATAAATTATATCATCAGGACAAGATATTCATAAGTGATTGTATGATGATCACAAGGTTGTAGACAATTTAGTTATCACAGACTGTGCAATCTGTATAACGTAACTTTTGTTTCGGTATTTACTAACTTTTGGCCAATATTATAACAAAATCTCAATGAAAAACAAATTATTTTCATCTCCCTATTGAAATATAAATACCTTTTAGATGATTTTGAAAACGATGTACTGTACTAATCGGTGATTATTTAGGTCAGGGTGAATACTTCAGGCATGACACAAATTGCGTAAGCTGAAAAAACTGTAACCTTTTGACAATGATTCCTGAAATGAATAAGTCAGGTGTTGATTGACATCTCATATGAGAGATATATCAAGTTCAGGAAAACTGCTACACCACTAGATTGTACTCAAAGACATTTTCGGTTGTTATTCTAGTATTCTCCTACCAATAGTCGTCTGAAAAATATAGTACAACCAGGTGATGTTCAGCACCCTGTGACTGAAACTGTAATCACTTACATTTCTCACCTAATATCTCTCTTCTATAATTTAAGCCAGGGGATCTAAATGACCACCTATTTCAGTGTATAATCTCCTTAATCACATACGAATAAAAAGATACCAATAGCAATTAGTCCAACACAGGTCAATAAACTTCATTCTGACGTAGCAAAAAGAAATCAACAAATGAGGAAACAAACGAGTAGGAATAAGGATATATTTAGCAGAACAGAAAACCGAAGACAATATTGCGTAAAGACTATAATGTATATAATGAAAAACCAGCTTGAGTCCGATTGTTCTCTAAATCTCAAAAACGAAGTATGCAGATTCGTCTAAGAAGCAAAATCATAATGGTTAATAATCTGGATATGTCCCATATCTTAATAGTAATCGTGCAGTCTTTCCACTACGTCCATATTGCAACACTTCAGCTAAGCCAAATGACATGCTCAGTGACTGTCTATTACTATGAAGAAAAGTAATCACACGAGCAAGTCTGGAAGTAGCAGTATGCATTTTTGACATAGGAAATCATACTTCAAGTCTTTCTTCATTATTTTTCAGCGTGCTCGGTCCTTACAACCCCATTATGTAATCAGACAATGAGTTCGTGACAAACTGCTCAACCTTTATGAAACTGGGATAGGGAAATATGAACCTGTGACATACATCTATGGTCAAGATAAATTTAGGTTTGTGCTCTAACACTTACGATGAAGTAGATATTGCTGAAGACAGCTTATCATAACTTCGGATAACAGCAAGAGTGCTTAGGCAGAGAAATTTCGGTACTGCGATTTTCTTTTCAGACTCTTTTATCAATAAGGTAAACTGCCAAAAAGCTTCTCCAAAATAACCAATTAACTCGTTAAACTCCAAAAAAAATAACTAGTTCGTATTACTGTTATTAAATTTCATACTGAAACATGTAGCATGACGTAGATATGAGATTAGTGCGCAATCAAGTCTCATGATCTACATCGTTATCCAGACCTTCTGAGCAACATTGAGTTGTCAGGTGATTAGAGGTCTTGAAGTTTTAGAGACTACTTTATCAGAAGAATACACTTCTCTGTGACAACCATATGAGGCCCTTTGTCTTTTCTTTTTAACGAAAACGATGAACAGGTAAAGGCCAGTAGAGTACAGTCAAGTCTGACTCTTTACGGTGAGAAAGCACCTAACTAGTGACAATGAACTAACCCCCTTTAAAAGTCTTTGGTTAACGATTATCAAGATCCGCTGAGCTTATTTCGATTAATTACAGCTTCCTACGATGGCTCTAAACTACTCTTCAAGGTGAAAAGATAGCTCGGTGACCCTTCACAGTTAGTAAAAAAACTACTTTTTTACAGTGTATCCATAACAGGAATTACATACATTCATAACTATATAATAATTGTTTCGGACACCGATTATAGTAACAATTTTATGTTCTTCAGGATATAAAGTATTTCAAAAGTAGGAAATTTACAACCTTAAGTTGTAGGATAAAATCATTGATAATCCATCTAACATGTAAGAGAATTAATTGTAAAAAGGTAAGAAATGTAACAAAGGAAAAGTAATGATAATTATAAATAAATAAAAAGTATTATACAATTAAAATGAAACAGAATCAAATTATCTTCAGCAAGAGAGTGAGTGGCTAACCACACTCTCCTTCTCTATCCACAGGTCAAGTTAAAAGCCTTTTATTCCAATCGCTTCCGCAAAACAGATTAATCCGGAAATTTTCAGTACATTTATTATCGTAAAATAACTGGAGGTTTCAGCATGATGTTCTGTGTCTAAAAGGTGTCTGGCAATACCATTGTTTCGAATTTTACTTTCATTTAATCACAGATTCTTGGATATATGCTCAGCAAAGTGAATAAGTGACCTTCTCTCAGTAATTGAATTTGAGGTGACTTTAGAATAGTAATTATCCAATTTTGACTGGTTTAGCGAACATGTGGTATTTTAAACTTTTACAAGTTCAGCTGCAGGAGAACTCCTTCGAAATGCTCCTTTCATTCTCCCATCCATTCCCCTTGGATATTTAGTCTACCTTCAATGTAAGGTATGTGAAAACCTGCTTCATTTCCATAGTTGAGTGTTTATTTCTCTCAATCCCTTCTTCTCCATACTTCATAATAAACCTTTTAGGATATTCATTCTGTTGGAGACATTTCTCAATAAAGTTTAGTTCTTTCTCTAACCTGTTTACAGAATATAGTTTCCTAGCTCTTTTGTAAGTTTTTTTGACTAGCTTATAGCCGGTAGGACAGGAGCTGTTATAGTTTAGGTATTACCAAATTCACGTATCTTTTCTATGAATGATCTTCTGAATCTTGCCATCATTTCTTCTTCTCCCGTTAAAGGTTCAAAAACCTGAAGTCGTTTTCATGTTTATATTCCATTGTAGTTTTGCTGTTAAGATGAACCTCACTGAGCTTGTCAAACAATTCACGTGTTTCATATGATTACAAACATCAAAGGTGTCGTCAACGTACCCTCGGTAATAGGTTGTTCCACTGATGAATGAACTCATGTGCATCTTTTCGAGATAACCTACGAAGATTTCTGCTAGGACAGGTCCTAAAAATAAATGCATTAGAACTGGACAAATTTTGTGTAAAGGTATACTAGCTATTTCATTTGAATTCCGGGCAACGGTAGTAGATCATTTTGTTGACCTACTATATCAATCGCTTCACTTATTGCTATATTTGTAAATACGGAAGTTATATTGAATTACACCATGAGCTTGTTTGTAACGTTAACACGATCTATTTCGTGGTAAAATTTAAATGTACCCTTTAAACTGTGGATCATTAACTTACTCCGGATGCGCTGTAAACAGTCTGCGAATCATTTTGCCAGCTTTTTACATAACAAATGAATCAATGACATTATAGGCCTCAAAGGTAAATTAGATTTATGAATTTTGGGCAAACCATATATTGAGGGAAGAATTGAACCTTTTAGGTTTAGCATATTATATGTTGCACTGTCAGTCAGCTTCTTCTTTAAACCCCTCTGGACGTTTATTTAATTTGTTTCTAAATGTTAGTACAACACCCTTTTCAGTATCATCCAACTGGAATCTTGCCTGACCACTGAGAATTGTCAGCACTTTATTCACAAAATCTTTCTTCTCGTCATGACAACACTTAATGGTTTATCAGGCCTGAATGTAACGATATCTGAGTTTACATGTAGTTTTCGCAATACCAGTTTATCCCCTTTGTTAAAGGTTTTTGACTGTTCTGATGTTGATACATAGTACTGGTTATCAATGTCATCCAACTTAGACTTCAGCTAACCACTCTTATCTTCATCAGTAGGCTTTGAATCTGACCGTTGGTGGTATAAGTTTTCAAACTGCGTCTCTGTGTCTATTCGACTGAAGCACTTCACTGGAATGTGAAAATTATATTAAAGAGATGAAGCTTCAACGTCAACTTGACGTAGAGTAATTTTCGATAAGTTCTTTACTTACTTCTGAGGGTTTTCAGCAAAGTTTTTTCAGGGACACTTCCTCGACTAGTGATTTCATGAGTATGATCCTATAATCTTCCGAAGTATTTGAATGAAGTTCGCGGACGAAGTTAATGAATCTAAGCCAGAAAGTGATATTTAGATCATTGATTTGGCTGTTAAAAGTTGCCAGCTAACACTTAGACTTTGAGATGTATGTACTGAACGACTCAACATGAGGTTTTGTGATGCGGTGGAGATTCTAATGAGAAGGTGGAAGCTTGTTCATTTGGATAAATGTATGCAGCTGACGTGGGAAACAACTAGTGCCTAGATATTGCTTATGGAAACTAACCATCATGAATTCTGTAGGTATTCTGCAAGACCAAGCCCCCATATGATTCAGTGACTTCATTAAGTGTGTAGCGGGGTATCTCTTCAAGAATTTCATGCATTCAGATTCCTTGATAAATTTGGATAAGGCAAGAAGCATGTGAGAAGAAAAACTGACAATAAGATTGAAAACATCCAGAGAAAAGACACATGAACTGGACAGTTCCTTAGATACGCGAGTATGCAACTACAAGCATAAGCTAGTCAAAACAACTTACAAAAGAGCTAGGAAACTATATTCTGTAAACAGGTTAGAGAAAGAACTAAACTTTATTGAGAAATGTCTCCAACAGAATGAATATCCTAAAAGGTTTATTATGAAGTATGGAGAAGAAGGGATTGAGAGAAATAAACACTCAACTATGGAAATGAAGCAGGTTTTCACATACCTTACATTGAAGGTAGACTAAATATCCAAGGGGAATGGATGGGAGAATGAAAGGAGCATTTCGAAGGAGTTCTCCTGCAGCTGAACTTGTAAAAGTTTAAAATACCACGTGTTCGCTAAACCAGTCAAAATTAGACAAATGCCTTCCACACTGCTGAGGATAAAACATTTATTCAATTTTTCCAGGTTTTCAAGGGTTCTCTAAATGATATGAGTCATCGATGAACACTATCTTGAAATAAGTAAATCTCTGTAAATCTCCAAACCGATTGTTTTCAGTAAAAACTAACTATAATGTAGGAAACGTTTAACAGTCTGATTACTTTTACACTGAACATGTGTTGTACTGAAATAATTTTTCGTTCACAAATAATACTTGCTTATTCATTGCTTCCTAATGAAATGCATTTATATACATTCAAATATTCAGTTCGCCAAATGTCCAAAATCTATTACTTCCTGTGAACTTGTTGGAGATGATTCATGCAAAGTTTACAAGCAACAACATTCTAAACCTTGGGAAGCTGAATGCCCTCCTGATCAACCAGTATGTATTACTAAACGTAATACAAGAATGGCACCAGGTGAGTTTTATTGTTATTTGTTGTTAACAAAATGCTGACTATAGTTTCAGATTATTTGTAAAGAAGTGAAACTTTTGCGTTGAGTAACTGTTTGACAGAAGAGGCAGTGAAGACGGGACTTCAAGTGAACGTAGAGAAGACAGAGGTGATGATGATACTTAACAAACGCCACCACCAACAACAACAAGCACCAATCACCATTAACGGGAGGTAGTTAAAGGAAGTAGCCTCCTTCACCTATCTAGGAAGCACTGTTTCAACTACAGGCGGCACAGACGAGGACGTCAAATCCAGGATCGGAAAAGCAAGACGGGCATTTATTTGCCTGAAACCAGTGTGAAGATCTTCTGCACTCGACGTGGCACATAGAACAAGATCCGGATTTTCAACATCAACGTCAAGTCAGTGCTCCTATATGGTTCAGAGACCTGGCAAATTACAAAAAGTATTTCCAAAAAACTGCAGACATTCATTAACAGCTACCTACGCTAGTTACTGAAGATCAGATGGCCAGAATGAGTAAGCAACAAGTAACTCTAGCTGGCTGGTAGTAAACCAATCAAGAACCTATCACCCAACAAATATGCGGAAGGAAGTGGAGATGGATTGGGCATGCACTGAGAAGACCATTCAGGGACATCACGCCGCAGGCCAGGCCGTCGAGTAAAACGCAGATGGGGAACGATGAGTTGGGCATTGGAGGGGAGGGTGACATGGAGAAGATCGTGTGAGGAAGAAATGAGAGCTTGTAGGTAGTCGTGGAGCCAGATTCAAAAAGATTGCAGAGAACAGAGTAGAATGGAGGCATGCTACTGAACCTCTATGTTCCACTGGGAACCTAAGGGACAAATAGATAATCATAATAAAACTGCCTAATATCTAGTGAATATTCAGGAAATATCATTAACAGAAATTGGTGTTCTTATCTAGACTTTAAGGATCCATTTAAAGTAAACTGAGAAAGATGTAGTCCATTACTTTAAGCTTTGTCGGTTAAATGTTGAATCCCCGTTTAGCTTCACCGATTGCCAGCACTTTTATGAAAAAATTTATCCTACATTCAACTTTTTATTCAGTGTATACACAAAGCCTGTATAATAACTATCATGACATTTTTTGAAACCATAGTCAGAAGATTATGTACATTAGTTGAAAATCAGATGAAATTCAGTTTCATGCAGTAATCTAGTCTTTTTTGACTTCATCAATTAAAAATGTAATAATCTTGTAAGTCTGAGTTACCTTGCACCACAATCAATATTATTCTAAGCTCAACTTTTGTCGATAGTCTAAAGTTTGATTTGCCTGATTCACACTCTTCCTGAGTTATTATCAAGGTGCATTAGCAGTCTAAGCAGTGTTGATCTGCTTTAGAAGTGTCGAAACATTTTTTTCACTTTCGTTTAAAAAAAATTCATTCATAGGTAACATAAGAGAAGCCAGTTTAGTGGAACACAGATTGACTGGGAATATCACGCACCAGGCCGTCGAGTGGAATCGAAAAGGGAAACAATGAGTTAGATGTCCGAGATGAGGTTGACATGCAGGAGGTGTTGTGAGGAAGAAATTAATGATTTCGGGCAGTCGTAGCATCAGGTTCAAAAGACTGAAGATGATAGAGTGGAATGGAAGCGTGCTACCCAAGCCTTATGTTCTATTAAGAACCCAAGGGGAAAATAATAATTTCTCTTACAATACATCGGGAAATACCCTGATTTATGCTTCAGATCATCTATGTATTACGTAACTAAATATGAGTAGTCATTGTCTTTAACATACATTTCGCTTTACAAAACTTTAGGATATTTAAAAGGTGATCGTTTTAAAACTTCAATAGCTCTATCTGAAATCTTTAAATCTAAATATTGTCAAAGAAAAAAAAAATGATCATTGAATACAATTCTGTGTCAGCAATTCTTTTGTTTGAATAAGGTCTCAAAATTGGAAATATCTTTTTGTTTATTCAATATAATCTATACAATCTATACAAGTGAATAAGTCACAATGAACAAGTAAATTGTAGACAAATGTTTCATAATTATTAAAAATTTTTGTTCATCATAAGACAAAATGATAATTCAACTCTAATGAATACAATTTTAATCAAAAAAGAGATTAGTGATGAATTATTTGTTTATTTATTTAACAAAGCTAAATAATTTCTTCATATTTTTGTTTAAATTCCATTTTCATCATTAGTAATATTCATGGTGAATTATTCCCTGTAGATTATTTTTACCAGATTTTTTTTATTCATCAATAATTAATACTTTATAAGTTTTTAATGTTGATGAAAATTGGTTAATGGTTTCTTTTAGGAGATATAACAAGTTTCAGTGACAAAATAGAGTATCATAACTATGTTTCTGAGAAATGTAAAGTAAATGTAAATGTAAATCTTTCTTGATATGACCGACATAATTAAAGTAGAACCTCGCCCACACCTACATTGGCTCAAGTTGCCACACTTTGTAGACATGCAAAACGAACAAGTGGATAGAAAAGGAGTAATATGAAAGTAGATAAAGTTGTGTGAGAGTACAAGCAGTTTAAAGGTAAAGATTAGTATCAATGTTTAAGCTTTTAAAGATATCAAGGAGTGAATACATTTTCGTCATTGTGACCGATTTTCAGCCATGTCGCTAAGAATCTTCAAGCTACTATTCCGATTATTTTAACAACCCCAACCAGTTAGTCGACATCTCCACATAAAGCTCAAACCAACAGTCACGGACTTTCTCGACTAGCGCCAGGTTTTCATCTGGCCACAATGAACCCTCTTCCAACCTAATCCAACTTCCTATGGTATGCTACTTTGAGGTAGATGATAACTTGGCATGCGCAGTACATATCCAAGCCATCTCAGCCGACTAACACAGACAACCTCGTCAGTCAACTTGCCTGTCTTTACTGTCACCTTTCGCCTGACTTCAGCACTGCCCACACAGTGATTTCACCAAACCCCAGCAATGCTACAAAGATAATTATGATTGAAACATTGCAGCAGCTTCATGTCTCCCATTTTAAATGGCCATTTCCCACAGCTGTATGGACTGCAGCGTAGTGTACTCTTCCTTTGATTGATAGCCAGATATCGCGGCGACACCACTGGTGATACAAGTCAATAAATGCCACCAAATGGGCCTTCTGTATTTCTTGATATCATTCAGAGTAAAGCATTTGGAACGCTTTTATTTGCCATAAATAATTAGTATAATTGTTTTTATATGATAACGTCGTTACTTGGACAGAATTGATCGGTCTCTAATGGCATATGGGCTCCTATGAGGATGCCTAGATATTGCCTGCGTTCTAATTGTATTAATTATAGGTCGTGGCTAGCAGTGGAATTCAGGATGCTCATTTCGTCCTATTTGCGACTCGTCAGCTGGATGTGCCTGCTTCCCAGTGAGTGATGTTGTCCCCACCGGATTCAGACTCTGGAGAGACCGCTCCAAACGCCAGTCTGAATCCCGGTGGGAACAGCATCACTCACTGGAAAGCAGGTACAGCTGGCTGACGAGTCCCGAATAGGACGAAATGCGCATCTTGGATTCCACTGCTAGCCACCATCCATCATTAATACCATAAATAATTTTTTGACAGAAATTTTGCTTGGCATAACCTTACTGTTTGTTTGCAGTTTTAAACAAGGTGTTTCTATCACACCGTAGAAACTTATACTCCTCTTGAGGATTCAATTATGCCTTGATAAGACTGTTTATCAGTATGAAACTGAAACCATAAATGACACTCAAAAGGACTGGATTAAGTGAATAAGTTAGATGTAGACTGATAGTTCACGTAACAATCTAATCCTAATTGTTGATTGAGTAATTTCAATCAGCCTAAAACATATGACACTTCATTGCATTGCACTTGGTTTTCAGAGCTCTTATGTTTTACCACAGAATCAAAACAAACACACTTAGTTAAGTAATCTAAATTAGCAGGATAAAAAGCAAAAACAGAACTGATATATATATATATATATATATATATATATATATATATATATATATATATATATATATATATATATATATAATCTTAATTCAAACCTTTAAAAATTACCTTTTCCTTCAATTCTTCAACAGATATTGAATTTGAAAATGTTCCATCAGAATGCCGACAGTCACCTGATCCAGGTTCATGTCAAGTAAAAAATCCTTCACAAAATTTCTTTTATGATATCGAAAGTAATGATTGTATTTCATTTTACTTTCATGAATGTGGAGGAAATGATAATCGTTTTCTTACAAAATCAGATTGTATGAGTCATTGTTCACCGTGAAAAACTAGAAAAAATTTCAGCCAACATTTTCATTTACACAATAGTCATTTTCATTATACTTACCATCATCTTAATCGGTAACAGTTACAACAGTTTTATTCAAGACACCATATGTAACATTACTATAATAAGTAGTATTGCTAGTAGTATAGAATGTGTCGCAAAAGTATTACTGAGAAAAAGAAAAACGCATGTTATACACTTTATTTTCTTCTGGTAAAATGTGATAACATTCATGTTTTTCTCTGGTTTTTTCGTTAAAACATTTTGAAATGAATAAACTCCCAGTTAACTGTAATTAATTATCAATTAAATTACACTAATTTGATTTTACTTTATTTCGTGTAACATGAATAATAATAATAATAGTAATAATAATGATAATAATAATAGCGTATTCGTTGGCTTCCATAAATATTATCAGTACAAAAAGTTTTTGTTTTTTAATCTGTTGCCCGTTTCCCTCAATTGCAATGAGAAGTGAAATGTAATGGATTAGTAATTTCCTTTTTCAAGTGAATATGACATCCAAAATAATTATTAGGTGTGCTATCTGTGAGACACTGCAAACCATTAAAAATTCCACGGGTACTTATTTCACTAATGATAACCTAAATGTTAAGCTCACATTCATATTTTCGGCAAGATTTCCTTCTATAAGTTTACTGATGAATATTCCTGTAGATAAAATAATGAAAAGACGTAGACTGTACTAGTTGCACAATCTGTTTGAGCAACATATAGCGGTTTGATCCCTGGTAAGGCTAAGGGTGCCCATTGTTGAAGAGTCTAGTACCAGGAGGAAGAAGCCATTCACTGCTCACAGGTTTCCAATTCTTTTCCACCAGATGTCAGTCCATGATAAACACCAACCGTAAATCAGTTAATAAATCCCCAAAAATCTCGGAGTTGAATGAATCTACTGCTCATTGGTGACTCGTCATAAGAAATGATTCCTGAAGTTCTAATGAGACATTCTGACCAGTGGAGTTAACCAAGTCGAAAGTGAAGACAGTTACTCAACGACGTATTAGGTGGAGGTAGCGACACATCGTGAACTGGTAGAAGTAGGAAATATGGACCATTAGATTCCTACCCAGTGGCTCAATGGTAAGACGCTGGCCGAGGGACCTGAAGGTCTTGGGTTCGACCCCTCGCAGTGTCATGGGTGCGTACTGCTGAGGAGTTTCATACTAAGACGAAACAGGTCTCCAACGTTCCCCTAACTAACGTCATTCCATGATGAATACTAACCTGACATTTCAAACAATTGGATCATATATATGCTCGTCACACTTATTTGTGTGAGTGATGAGAAAAGGAGAAACGGTTTAGTGAGAAGGCCGTAGTGATTGTTAGGATGACAGTTAAAAATAGTAGTGTCTTGACCTTAGATTCGGGACCAAATTTACAGCGGGAGGTTTATTGTGATGACAAATTCCTTGTGAACACATAATGATGACTTAAGCTTTCGAATAAATGCATTTCTAAGGTTTCACTCATTATGAACTGACATCATTTGGAGAACCACTGAAAACCTGGAAGCAATGCATAGTTGTGGAACCTGAAGGTCCTGAGTCCGACCGCTAACCGGCTGAAAAATCCCATACTAGGATGATGGCATTATTATATAGCTCGGTTCAAGAGCCTTTCATTGCCTCTTTACCTATGTTTGTACAACTTATGATTTTGAGATAATTACGTGTCGGATGAAATCAACTATTATGTAATAAATAACATCTCATCTACCTCTATGCATGAAATCAGCTAATTCATTCTTATGAATTCCTGTACGTTGTGGAAAGGGAATCTAGTTGAGTACACAGTTGACTCATACGGAGAGAAGAAAAGGACATTAAACATCAGACTTAATGTTCTGCTGCATGAGGTTTGACCTGATAAACTGCAGATAGCTTGAAAATCACCCTAGTAATGACTGAAATAACCAAATAGGTTTATATTCATTGTTCACTGGAAAGAAACCAACCTCATGTTGTTTGGTCCCGATTACTGACTACACTCTGTCGATCATTTTTGTACAGTTGCTCACTACTCAGATGGATGTTAGGTGACTGGAAGAAATGAAAAGAAGGCTTTGCTTGACCTAGGTTTCGTGGTCGCTGGCACTTGTCTGGAAGACATATCTGCAAACTTTAAAGATCTGATTTCCCTTATGTGATTCGAATCCATGTCACCCATTACTGCCGTTAGCAAAGTTACCACTGAGCTATTCTTTGTCAACACTTATATGGGTACATTAAGTGGGACTTAATAACGTTTATAGTTCCCCGTTTCTACATCGGGTTGAACCAATCCACCTCAGTTGGCACATAGGTTTCTATTTGGAAGCTTCGATATTGCCTAAAGGTTCACTGTGTTAAACGGTGATTCCTGGATTAGCACAGTAATTCTGCCATTTCTCCAAGACAGTGCTGGAAAGCTATGAAGAGTTTTAAGGAAGCACTAAAATATAGCCTTTCATAGGACAACCAACACTCTCAGGAATGATATAGCCCACTTAAAAGTTAGAATTCCTTTTACTTTAATAGTTAGCTGTTTCTACAAACTAGGCTATAGCGATTGTGACGCCCACTATACTATAGAATCATCCCGTGAGATCCTTATTCGGGCTAAGGAACGGGCAAGGTACATAAAATGACCGCCAACTAATCCTGCGGAACTATAGAATTTACAAATCAAGCCTGCAATCGCGGTTTATGCCATCTATCACAGTCACAAAAATCAATATTGAAAATATTAAAATTATTCGAAAGGTTTTTCAAACTCCAAAGAAATAAGAAAAACTAAGATATTTCACATTATGTTGAATCCTTTTGCACTCAGCAAACAGGATGACATGACTATCTAACCAACCTGGACAGCTTATCCAAAATAGCATGTCAGACACAATGATCAGAATCAAAATTCATAGGTACAAACAAACCAAATTTGTCATCCATAGTACTTGTTCTTACACATTTACATGTTTACCTTGAACTCCAGACTGATAATGGATAACAAAGACAAGTTTAAACGTCTCTTGACTAACATAGCAAAGACATTTATACCCATATCATATTACCATGTATGAACAACCTGATCTGATTTATCACCATATACCATTTAAACAGTCGATAACTTGTACAAATTTTGTCCTCTGAAGAAGCGATTTCCACAAACTACCTCGTTGGGATTTTACAAGTATATTTTATTAATAATCCATTTACCAAAAGCTCAACTTATTCAAATCTATCAGATCAAATTTTGATCCTGAAGTTTATGAAATCTATTCTTTTGAATAGGTCAGGGACTTGAATTTTTTGACGGACTCTAGGAAGACTTACAAGATGCTGTGTGTAAGGGATTTGGACTGGCTTGGAGAATAAGTGTATGCACTTGATTCTGTTATTTCCGAGATCATCTTTATGTTGCCACTATTCAGCTGACTAGTAACTGACTGTGTACTGTTTCTAAAGCTATCCGAAATCAGATGCGTTGGAGATTCCTTGTTAATTGGTAACATTCATTTTCGCTGCTTATATTAGTATCCTTAATGGATGATGTCACTCAGTAGCCTTATTTCTCTTTAGATTGAAAGCTTTAACCATAACTGCCTAAATAGTGTTCACTCCTTTATTGGGTTAGAATAATTGACAATATGATACGCTTTGTTGGAGGTAGTCAACCTAATGAATAATTCGTGGATTAAATAAATGTGTAAAATAAAGTCTCTAGGGTCAATACAAGTTGAATCGGGTTCAGCGTCATTTCTATAGACGCCGAAGGCACTCCAACCTAGAAAGTACTAAGAAATACTTACCCTGAGTGCAAGATCCCTGTCTGATCGCCTCCAACCAACTTAGAGTTATCAAGATAATTAAAATAAACCTAAATAAAATGTATCTCTCATTTTTATAAACGCAGATTTGGAGAAGTAAATCAGTGTAAATGGAATATGAACAAAATATATACATAATCATGAATTGTTCCCAAATACCTGAAACGTGTATTGAGTAAGCGTTCTGCTTTTAAAAATAGTTTCAAAATATCTATGTTTACTATGAGTAATAACTGTTCTAAACAAGCAGACAGATATATAAAACTGTATAAACTTGCCAGCGGATTGAAAGTCAGCTCCATGTTTATAAAATTACACAAACTGTAAAACTTAAGTGGAATCTCTTAACTTAGTTGTGCAGTCGATATATACTTCAGTCATTTCGTTCCATTGACAAATCAATAAGGGATATTCTTGAGCTGCTAAAATGGTTGATTGTGAACTAGTTATGTAGTGTATGTTATTTTAATTCAGGCATATCGTAGTTCTGATAATCCTATTCAATGATATTTCTGCAGAGAATCAGAAAAGTGATGTAAAGCTTCAGTTTGATACCCTATACATATTAATACAGACTTGCTAATACGGCTATAACGGTGTAACACGGCTGCCAGCTCAAATCTTCGGTGACTGAAGTGGACTTAAGACGTGTTGAGCATTTAGGTCTCGTACTAGCACCAGTCTGGTAACTCTCAGGCAGTTAGTTCCAATCCTAGCGAGACATAGGTTTTTATTTTACTTCCAGTCCACAGTCAGTATATATATATATATATATATATATATATATATATATAGAGTTGAGTGGGGATTTCAATTTTGAGACAGTATTCATCACGGATTGAAATAAGCAACAGAACCATTGAAAACCTGGGAACGCTGGACAGCTGTTTCGTCCTACCATGGGACTCCTCAGCAGTACGCACTCATGACTCGGATAAGACTTTTAGGTTTCACGACGAACGTGTTAACCATCCAACCATTAGGTTGGCGTTCAAATATTCACATAACTAGCGATAAGTTATCTCCAAAGAGAGTGAGAAAATCATGTGGATATAGTAACGAACTAACAAGTGTGAAGTGCCACGTAAAGGTTGAAAATGACAACCAATCATAGTGATAATAAAAAAGTTAACAAAATTGTTTACCTATCTTGATATTTGTTTATCAGTGAAACGAAGGAAAAAGTAAAACAGTGGTATGAAACGATATGGGATAGAAGGTTAAAATACGGCACTAAGACAGAAAAGTACATAAGAACGTGTTGACCCTATTGTGGGCCAACATAGATAAAGTGGATGCACATATTTATTCTGAATATATTTGTCAGGTTTGCTTGTGATAATTCTTAATGCCTCTAAGAAAGAGAGGCTATGTAGCCATGCTTTTTTGTCAAATTGCCAAAAATACGATTTATCACAGAAAACGTCCGATATAGCTTAAATCGATGTCGTTATCTGTTTACTGTGAGAGAAGTGCACTATCTATGCATTTCCTTATTGCTTTCCCTAACGAAGCTTGTATGCTTTCATGATTATGAATGGATAAAACCGTCCGATTATAATTCCACTTACAAAAACAATCTACGATTTATGCG